CAGGCAATCCACTCACCTCAGCCTCCCAAAGGCGCGGGATTACAGGCTGAGCCACCGATTGGCTGTATTTTTTTTAGAAGGCAGGATTTATTGAGAAGATAGAAAAGCTCCCACAATGGGAAGGAACCCAAGGGGGTTGCTGAAAATTCTATATTTTTAATAGTTATTTTGTCTCTTTGTTGATATTCTTTTTTTCATTTTTCTTTCATTTGTTTATCTACTTTCTTGCTTAGCTTATTAAGCTTCATTAAGGTGGTTATTTGAATTTTTTGTCAGGGAATGTATACATCTCCAGTTCTTTGGAGTTGATTTCTGGATTTTTGTTTTTGTTGTTCCTTATGACATCATTTTTCCCTGATGCTTTGTGATACTTGGCTTTTTTTTTTTTTTTTTTTAGTTGGAGTCTCACTCTGTCATCCAGACTGGAGTGCAGTGGCCACTCCCGGCCACCGCAGCCTCGACCTGCTGGGCTCTGACGATCTTTCCACCTCAGCCTTCCAAGTAGTTGGAACTACAGGTGCGTGCTACCACACCCAGCTGATTTTTTGATTTATTGTAGAGATGAGGTCTCGCCAAGTTGCCCAGGCAGGTCGACATTTGGCATTTAACATTGAAAAGGGAACCACCTCTCATAATCTTTATGGAGTTGCTTTGTCTACATCAAGTGTAGCACTAGTAATTAAGTCAAAGTTTCTGGGGGCCTCTAAAATCTGTTCTTAGAATGTGTCTTCTCAAATTATTCATCTACTCTTTCTTCCAGTTAAATATTTTGACAATGCTTTTTCTTTTTTTTGAGTTGGAATCTCACTCTATCACCCAGGTTGGAGTGCAGTGGCATGCTCATCGCCATTCCCAGCATTGATTTGCTGGGCTCCAGTGATCCCTCTGCCTCAGCCTTCCAAGTAGCCAGAACTACAGGTGCGCCCTAGTATGCCCAGCTATTTTTTTTTTAAATTGAGAGATGAGGTCTTGTCAAGTATCCCAGGCTGGTCTCAGACCTGTGGACTCAGGCAATCCACTCACCTCAGCCTCTCAAAGTGCTGGGTTTATAGGTGTGAACCACTGTGACTGGCCAACAATGCTTTTTCTTAAGAACTCATAGTTCTTTGCTTTATCTGTGGTCTGTCTATGTTACTACAGTCTCTCTGGTGCTTTAAGAATCATTTACCTGGCTGCGCTTGGTGGCTCCACCTGTAATCCCAGTACTTTGGGAGGCTGAGGTGCGTGAACTGTCAGACCCCGCGGGTTTGAGACCAGACAGGGCAACTTGGTGAGATCTCATCTCTACAATAAATCAAAAAATCAAGCCGGGCTCTATGCCTCAGCCTATAATCCCGTGCCTTTGGAGGCTGAGGTGAGTGGATTGCCTGAGGCCGTGGGTTCGAGACCTGTCTGGGCAGCGAGACCTCATCTCTACAATAAATCAAAAAATCAGCTGGGCGTAGTGGCGTGTGCCTGTAATTCTGGCTACTCAGAAGGCTGAGGTGGAAGGATCGCCCGAGCCCACAGGTCGAGACTGCGGTGGCCAGGAGCAGCCACTGCACTCCAGTCTGGGAGATAGAGTGAGACTCCAACTCAAAAAAAAAAAAAATTAGCTGGGTGTAGTAGTGCGTGCCTGTAGTTCTGGCTACTTGGAAGGCCAAGGTGGAAGGCTCGCTGGAGCCCAGTGGGTCGATGCTGGGGTGGCCGTGAGTGTGCCACTGCACTCCAGAGTGAGCAACGGAGTGAGACTCTAACTGAAAAAAAAAATCTTTTACCTTTCATTTCAACAAATCTAATCTCTCATCCAAAGTGTACCACAATTTCCTTCAGCAGCACTCTGTTTAAGGGGAGTCAGTAACCAGTCTTTGGGTAAATCCTCACATTCCAGAAGTGTGGACTCATGTTCTAGTTTCTCCTTCTTCCCTGAGGAAGAAACCAGGAGTTGGAAATTTTCACCTAATTGCATCCTGCTGTATTATGAAGAAAGTTTATGGTGGTTAAAATTACTAAACCATCTCTTCTGTGTAAGTCTTGTTGACATTGTGCTCACTTGGGTTTCCGTGAACTCTTACCTGTTTTAAGGAGTTCTCATTAAGGCAATTTAGTCAGTATTATGTTAAGCTCATATATTTATAGAGCAATGAGGCCATTTGATTTTTATTTTGCCGTCTTGCTGATGTTCTTAGCATGGTATAGTTGTATATTATATTTGTGAGATATATGCCCATAAGTTCAGTAAGTAGGATAAATTGTCATTTTCATTATTTTTAGCTATGAATTCTCATTACGCCGAGGGCCTTTTGCCAGCAGAGAGCACAGAAGAGTCACTCACAAAGATGATGTTGGGAAGATATGGAAGATTTGACCTTAAAAATTTACACTTAAGGGAAGATTGGGAAAGTGTGAATGAGGGTGAAGGACAAAATAGATGTATTGTACATAACCATTACAAATGTAACAAATGTGAGAAGGTCTTTCAACAACACCCTGAATTTACTATCCACCAGAGTATCCATATTTCAGAAATGACTTACAAATATAATGAATATGATGACATTTTTAGCCAGTCCTCAAAATGTACTCAACATCAGAGAATTATTGTTGGAGGAAACTTACACACATGTAATATATGTGGGAAAGTGTTCAGTAAATCATCAAATTTAAAGAATCATGAAAGAATCCATACTGGAGAGAAACCCTACAAATGTAAAGAATGTGATAAGGCTTTTAAACAGCATGCACATCTTTCAAAACATCAAAGAATCCATACTGGGGAGAAACCCTACAAATGTGAAGACTGTGGCAAGGCCTTTAGCTCTCATTCAGGACTTGTTCGACATATAAAGATTCATACTGGAATGAAACCCTACAAATGTAAAGAATGTGGCAAAGCCTTTTCACATCATTCGTACTTTACTACACATCAGAGAATCCACACTGGAGAGAAACCCTACAAATGTGAAGAATGTGGCATAGCCTTTCTCTCTTTTAAAGGACTTCGTGGACATATGAGGATCCATATTGGAGAGAAGCCCTTCAGATGTGAAGAATGTGGCAAAGCCTTTCGCTCTCATTCAGGACTTGCTGGACATACAAGGGTTCATACTGGAGAGAAACCTTACAAATGTGAAGAATGCGACAAAGCCTTTTGGTCTCATATAGGACTTGCTGGACATAGGAGGATCCATACTGGAGAGAAGCCCTACAAATGTAAAGAATGTGACAAAGCCTTTTGCTCTCATTCTGGACTTGCTCACCATATCAAGATTCATACTGGAGAGAAACCTTACAAATGTGAAGAATGTGAGAAAGCCTTTAATCAGTACTCTCATCTTATTCAACATCAGAGAATCCATACAGGAGAGAAACCCTACAAATGTGAACAGTGTGGCAAAGCCTTTCGCTCTCATTCAGGACTTGCTGGACATACAATGATCCATACTGGAGAAAAACCATACAAATGTAAAGAATGTGACAAAGCCTTCCGCTTTCTTTCGGGACTTGTTGGACATACATGGATCCATACTGGGGAGAAACCCTACAAGTGTGAAGAATGTGACAAAGCCTTTAATCAGTACTCACATCTTATTCGACATCAGAGAATCCATACTGGAGAGAAAACCTACAAATAAAGAATGTGGCACAATCTTTCACCATTGCTCCAAGTTTTCACGACATTAGAGAAGTTTGTTTTTTTTTTGAGTTGGAGTCTCACTGTGTTGCCCCGACTGGACTGCAGTGGCATGCTTCTGGCCACTGTAGCCTTGACCTGCTGGGCTCCAGCGAACTTTCCACCTCAGCCTTCCAAGTAGCTGGAACTACAGGCGCGCGCTACCACGCCCAGCTAATTTTTTGATTTATTGTAGAGATGAGGTCTCACCTGCTCAGTTGGGTCTCAAACCTGCGGGCTCTGGCAATCCACTCACCTCAGCCTCCCAAAGCGCAGGATTACAGGCTGAGCCACCGAGCCTGGCTTCAGAGAAGTTATACTCTATAAATTCTCTATACCTGTAATGACTGGCAAAACACTTATCAAAATATAAGCCTTAGAGAGCATATGGAGAGAAACTTTACAGATGTAAAGAGTAGAATTGCCTTTACTTATTCCACAGATGTTTTGAATGTACAAATGTAAAGAACATCTAAAGCTTTTAACTGTAGCTAAAACTATTTGACAGTAGAGAATTTGCATTGGAGTTGAATATAGAATGACGTTTGCTCAAAGTGTATACCATAGAAATCATCAGGGTGTGCAAACTGAAAACTTTGCAGATCCAATATGTGTGGAAACTTATTTAATTAAAGTCAAGTTTAAATAAACATAAGGGTATTCTCACTATAAATCACTATGGTACTCATTTTTTCAGACAGTTCTCTAGAGTGTTGATTATAGGGAATAAGTTAAAGCCAAAAGAGTTAGATAAATTATTTGCTTACATGTTTAATAGGATCAGAAGATTGATTTTTAAAGAGAGATATAAGTATATTCTGTGTATGCTTTTGTTTTTGCATTGACAGAATTTGAGGACTTCTTGAAAAAGCAAAAATTGATGTAACTCAACTCAAGTTATTTGATGTTATGCCTTTGTTCCTAGTGTTTATTGAAAAGCATGTTGTCACTTACATTAGAGCTAAGATAGGCCACTGTATACTAGGTGGGCATCATTCATCTCAACTTATCCATGGATGATGGACACTGAAATGTAAGAAGCATTAAAAGATTTATGTGGAAAGGTTTTTCTGGCTCATGTTAAGTAGTATTGTAAGTCCTACATGAGGTGGGTGCTCAGGGTACCATTTTGGGGCACTGGAATAAAAGACAAACATTCAGGGTTTTAGAAATCAATGGTCTTACCAATTGTACCTGAAGGAAAAAATGAGGCCAGTTTATTTATATCCTGATGTATCTTCATAGTATCAATACTGACAAGTCCTAAGTTTTATATGATATGGTATAGAGATCTTTTCAAAGAAAGTCATGAAAATATAATTCCTCCCTAAAAAGGTGTATATTGTAAATTTATGTTTAGTAAATAATTAGCCTCAGTTTTTAAAACTGAAGAAAACTGGAGTCTCGTATATATCTATTAGAAGAACAGAAATGATTCTTGAAAGTTTGTAATTTGTTTTTACTAGCGAGCACAATGAATTTTGGAAAGGTTGTTTAGACTATGTGAACAATTTGTTTTAATAAATAAACAGGATTGTATATCATACATTAAAGACTTGCACATAAGATGAAGTGTAATTCTGCCACCAGTGTTAACCAAAACCACCTTACTCAAGCTTGTAGTTAAATGATGATACTCATATATTATGGAGTAGCTTGGTGAGATGATGACTTACCCAGTGGCTTTAAACTTCAAATAATTTGGAGAATTTTTCCCCGTAGGTTATATTTGATTGATTTCCCTTTTTTGTGTGTAGATAATGGGACATTATGATGATGGTAATAAAGTTATACAGGAGTATAATTATAAGACATATCTTTCTGAGTCATGACTGACTTATAAAGTATTTGTATGTATACGCTGTACTTCCCTTGGCCTGTAATACACATACAGACTTGACTTTAATTTACATTGAATGAAACATACAAATGTACCCTTTATGAGTGTATCCTAAAGGTAACCTTTATGAGTAAGAGAACTAGGGAAGAGAAAGTTGTGTCTCTGTGTGTGAATGAATGCTTACCTTAAATAGAAAAGGAAATTACTGGAGCAAAAGAAATAATTGAAGATCTGAAAGTAAATCTGTCTTATCTGCTTCACATTGAATTTATTCCACTAAAATCTAATGGCTCCTAGTTCAGAATGCCCATATAGAAATCCTCTTTTTTACTCTTCAGTTTTTTCATGCAAGACCTAATATGTGATTCACTGTTCTATGTCTATAAAGTGTTTGTTATTTGGCCTACTTAGAAATTTCAAGAATTTTTAAAGATGAAATGTAATGGTGTTAAGAGAGCACTATAAAGGTGTAAGGAATTCACAGTGAGTATATTTGGTTACATTTTAATTTATACCTTCCATTTTTTTCTTCACAACTGGAGAATACTATTGAAGACATTTTGTGGTTACCATTCCTTTCACTTTGTATAAATAACAGTTGTTTTTAATGACTTTATTGGACCAATTTTTTGGGGGGGGGAAATGGGAGACAATAAATCCAAGGTTTGTTTTGACTTTTTGTTTTGTTTTGACATTTGAACAAAGTGAACAAACACAAGACAGTGCTTGGCATGTAATAAATGCTTTATAATTAGCAATAGATATTCCTCTTAGAGTGAGTGTATGTCTCTAGGTAAGAGACTGAAAATATCCAGAGTGAAGAAATGATGTTGATTCCACATTTGGTTGCTTCTGTCATTTTCTAACCATCTCCAGTTTCTCTCCTTCTCTTTAGTTTCATCCCCAGCTGCTCATGCATCCCAGTGCATTTGCCTGTGTATGTCTGTAGCTTTCTCACTGTTCTCCCCACCCCATGTCATTCTGCACTATGCTTTGTGGGTTCTGATGAAAAGAACAGCAAAAGGGAGAAAACTTGAGGGAAATAGAAATACAAAGGAAAAAAAGAGTATTTTTTTTTTTTGAGTTGGAGTCTCACTCTGTTGCCCATGCTGTAGTGTAGTGGCACACTCATGGCCGCCACAGCCTCGACCTATGGGGCTTTAAGTGATCCTTCTGCCTCTGCCTTCCAAGTAGCCAGAACTACAGGTACATGCTACCATGTCCTGCTAATTTTTTGATTTATTGTAGAGATGAGGACTCACCATGTTGTCCAGTCTGGTCTCGAACCTGCTGGCTCAGAAAATCCTCTCGCCTTTGCCTCCCAAAATTCTGGGATTATAGACTTGGGTTCACCACGTCTGGCTGAAAAATGGGAATGTTAAAGAGGGTAACAGCAAGGAAAACAAAAGATGAAGACTCTGAGGACACAGGGCAGGAAAGGAGTCTCAGAACCCTGTATGAGAAGATCACATGGGAAATGATAAATAAAAGGGAACCATAAATAGAGTGGGAACTAGACAGAAATGCAGAGCAGAGGAAAACAGGGAAATCAGGCAGCAAAGGGAAACAGAAGAATAGGGAGAGAAAAAGATGTAAACATGAGAGCTGGTCAGAAAAATGCAAAATGAGTCGGGCTCGGTGGCTCAGCCTGTAATCTCACACTTTGGGAGGCTGAGGTGAGTGAATTTCCTGAGCTCGTGGGTTCGAGACCTGCCTGGGCAACTTGGTGAGACCTCATCTCTACAATAAATTAAAAAATTAGCCGGGCGTGGTAGCGCGCATCTATATTTCCAGCTACTTGGAAAGCTGAGGCGGAAGGATCGCCGGAGCCCAGTAAGTCAAGGCTGCGGTGGCCAGGAGCGGCCACTGCACTCGAGTCTGGGCGACGGAGTGAGACTCCAAAAAACAAAAGAAAAATGCAGCATGACAGGGAGTTGGAGAAGCAAAAAGGAGATGGAGAAAGAGGTGAGAATAACAGAAAAATACCTACAGAGAAAAAGAAAAGGTAGAAGGAGTAAGAAAAAAATAAAACTCCCTTCAAACAGC